CTTTGTCTATGTTCTTTTTGATGTTGGAACACTTCGATTGACGTGCATAGTTGACGATATTACAGCTAATGTCATAGCATGACATTTCACGTTCAATTCCCCGATATTGCAGTTTTTTTTTTATTCATTAAGGTATGTAGCCATAGTTAGCAGAGGTGTCTAGCTAATTGTTTTAGGCTACTGTTAGGTTTTTCAGATCTGATCGTGCAAAACATTCATAAGGAATTCCAATCATTCACAACCAACTAATAATATTCAAATATCCAATGGCAAGGTTTATTTAAACACATGAAATGAGATTATGCACGCTTAGCGAGATTACAACCAACATTGCGGCTTTGCTGCTTTCATCTCAGATCTAACCATATGGGGAGCACGGAAAAAAAAGCCTCTTCAAAGAAATTTACAGAAGGAGCAACGGTTCCCAGGCCACATGCCCTGAGCCAGGTTGGTGTGTAAAGACCTAAGCCAAGAGATTATGACCTCTTGCCTAAGCTCAATACTCAGCAGGGCGAAGGAGGGAAGTGTACTACAATGTATTTATTGAATATTGCGCTGCAGATTTATCTCTCACGGGGTTATTTAAGTTTTCTTGTGGAGAAAGTCAATTATTCATTAAGACGCTGATGATATCGGACAAGAAAGCAATGTTACGAAATAAAACCCACAGTTTTGATTGTGTCTTATAACAGCTTGGCATTCAATTTTCCTTTTTATTTACCAATTAAAGTGGAAAGTAACGCAAATATTTGTTTGGCCAACATCATTAACAGGTTTCCAATATTATTTTGAGATCTTTTGCTAGGGTATTTTTAGCCGTAATTCTCCGTAACAACTAGAGGTGATCCAGAGTAAGAATAAATTTTGAGTTCGTGTTCGAGCAGGAAGCTGTTTTTCCTTTTTTCTATTAAAGAGAAAACTTACACGTATACTAGTCTTTTCGTCAGGTTGCCAAAGAAAACTTGTAGAAAATATTCTCTTTCTTAGAACTCGAGATAGTAATTCCGCAGACATTTGCTGACCCTTATTAAGGCTTGGCGAGAAACAGAGTTTGCTTTTTTCTTGTTGCAAGGGTATCTCCCGAATGCAAGATTCACTATTAAATGAAAAAACAGCAATATTTGTCTCCTGCAGTATTGCTTCTGAAAAGGGAGAGCCTAGTCGGATGTGCCAAATTTTCATTTTTTGTTCTTCTTGTTGCAAATTTTTTTTTACACTTTTTACTTTTAAGTGAGCTTTTTCTTTAGTATTTCCTGTGTCGTGAACAATTGAGCCTGTTATGACGTAATTGAAGAGTGAGATTTACATCGAAACCAAAATTGGCCATACCAGAAAAAATATATTTTGTTGCTGTTGTTCTTGATGTTGGAAGACTCTTGGTGTGCTAATGTAATGAGGCTACATATGAAGCTGACGCTAAAAAAATTGACAATAATTAATTTAGAACTCAGTGCTATGTTTTTAGACAAATGAGCCGTGCATTGCTTCATTTGACACTGTTTCAAGTACTTAATAAATACTTTGTCTATGTTCTTATTGGTGTTAGACACTTCGATTGACGTGCATAGTCATCTCATATGTAATGTCATGACACGACATTTGACGTTAATTCCCCGATATTAGGTATTTATTACTATTATTATTATTATCATTATTCATTAAGGTGTGTACCCACAGTTAGCGGGGGTGTCTAGCTAATTGTTTTAGACTACTGTTAGGTTTTTCAGATCTGATCGTGCAAAACATTCATAAGGAATTCCAATCGTATCTGGCATTCACAATGGCATTCACAACCAACTTATAAGGTACTGCACATCAAAATATCCAATGGCAAGGTTCATTTAAACACATGAAAAGAGATTATGCACGCTTAGCGAGATTTCAACCAACACTGCGGCTTTGCTGCTTTCATCTCAGATCTAACCAGATGGGGAGAAAAAAAAAAGCCTCTTAAATGACATTTACAGAGGGAGCAACGGATTCCCAGGCCATATGCCCTGAGCCAGGTTGGTGTGTAAAGACCTAAGCCAAGAGATTATAACCTCTCGCTTTAGCTCAATACTTAGCAGGGTGAAGGAGGGAAGTGTACTACAATATATTTATTGAATATTGTGCTGGAGATTATTTCTCACGGGGTTATTTAAGTTTTCTTGTGGAGAAAATCATTTATTCATTATGACTCTGATGACATCGGACAAGAACGCAATGTTACGAAATAAAACTCGCAGTTTTGATTATGTCTTATATTACATTGGCTTCAAGTTTTCCTGTTTATTTACCAATTAATATTTAAGGGGAAACTAAAGCAAATATTTGTTTGGCCAACGTCATCATCAGGTTGCCAAAAAAAACCCGAGGAACTTGCTGGGGTGTTTGGCGAAGGTATTTTCAGCCGTGTTTCTTTGTGACAACTAGAGGTGATCCAGAATAAGGATAAATTTTTAGTTTTCCTTAAAGTTCGTGTTCGAGCAGAGAGCTATTTTCCGCTGGCATTTGCTGACCCTCGTCAAGGCTTGGCGAGATACAGACTTTGCCTTTTTCTCGTTGCGGGAGTGTCCTCCAAATGCAAGATTCACTATTTAATGGTAATATTTGTCTCCTGCAGTATTACTTCTGCAAAGGGAGAGCCTAGCCGAATCTGTGCTACTTCAGAGGTTTATTGCAAGGCACAAAGACTCTGTTCGCATGCGTTTGCGGTAATCTTTCCTAGTAACCTTCAATTTTACAAGTTTGTATTAATGATGAAAAAATGATCATCAGATGAGGCCATTTATGGGAAGAAAACACCCCCACACGCAAATTGGATTTTAAAACCAGTCGGAAGTGTTTGCTGACGTTGTTCATTTCATGTATTGGACTTGTGCTGATTGTCTTCCCTCAGTTGTCTTGCCCTGTGCATCATTGAAGACTGATTTTTTCAATCCTTGAATTGTCAAGAATCAAGTTCGACAATTTTCACATGAGATTCCTAAGCTAACTTTTTTCTCCCTCAACTTGCTTGAAAACCTAGTCAAGATTAGGTCGTCACATAGCTGTTCTTTTTTTCCGGATTTCTAAGCTAACTTTTTTCTCCCTCAACTTGCTTGAAAACCTAGTTAAGATTAGGTCGTCACATAGCTTTCCTTTTTTTCCGGATCAGCTTGCACGTGCGTACATTGCAACATTTGTCCTATTTAGTGCAAGCAATGTGTACGTCCGATTCTCACGCCAGAGTCGCTACGAGGCCCACTCACTCGCGCTCATTATAGAGATTTAGCACCGCGTTTATACGAAACATAAACGACAAGACTGACCACGTGACCACGATTTTCCCCATTTTTTGCCATTTTTCCTGTGTAATGATTGGGCTTTGCCATTTCTATTTGAAAGTATCAAGCTATTTCGCATTTGTTAAGATTTTCACTCTATCTTTTATGTAAACGTGATGCTAAACCTCTCCTCTAAACCTCTCCACCAGGCTAGTGTTGGGAATGGCAGGTAATTTAGTGTTAAGAACTGAGTTGAAAATGTAAATTAGCCACCGTAAAGGGTAAAAAAGCTGACGTTTCGAGCGTTAGCCCTTCGTCAGAGCGATCATTGTGATAGATAGTGTTGTGAATGCACTCGCTCAAGCGCGTAGCTTATCCTCGTGTCGCATGAGGTCTAGTATTAGGAATTGTACAATTCTGAGTTCAGTATGTGAACGACGTTTCTGCCGTGATGCAGTTGTGGCACTACAAACTCCGCACTTAAAAAGACGCGTATTGAATAACATGCTACTGAATGTGTTTTATTACCAGATGAGTCAGTTGATTAGTTCACAAAATTTAACCTATTACAACTTTTTGCTTACACATTTAGAGTGTGAATCAAAGACCAATGGCAAAGATTCTCGTAGCCTCGATTTCTAACAGACTAATTCAAGTCCCTTTACTTCTTTCCAAACGGGAGGCGGGGCTTCGGCAATCTTGGAATCCGGAATCTTGGTTTTGGGATTCTCGGGATCCGGAATCTTGGTTTTGGGATTCTCGGGATCCGGATCCTTGGTTTTGGAATT